CTCTCCCCGACCGCGCGGGGGGGGGGGGGGGGGGGTCCTCACCTGCCCGGGGGTAAGGGAGTGCTACACAGACCTCACCATATATGGTCTTTTCATTACCCATGGTTACACTTCAAGTTCAGCAAAATGTGAAAGAGTGTAGTATCTAGTAATTAAAGCTGTTTCTAGTGAATGAAGTAATGCACATGTGTGGTTGATAGATTTATTGTTTATGCACCTGTTTCCAGTTCACTGGATCACTGCACATTCCTTAGATCTCATTACATCTCACAATTCTATATCACACAAGCTTAAACAAACTGACATTCTTTGTTTTTCTAGCATAACTTTAGTTTTGTTTTTTTCATTATACCTCAGCATAATGTTTTACAGCTTTCGATTGACTAGACATATGATGCTCTTGGGGGTTTGAACTAGGTCCTCGTGGCTTTGGTAAACTGCCAGCTTCAAGCATCCAGTTAGTCTGTATCTTCATACTGTCAAGCTGTCCAAGTCTGTTGCTTTTTCTGCACTTTTCTAGGTTCATCTTGGCAATTTTTCTAGGGGTGTTGTCAAATTTGGAATCCTTATAGAAAGGAAACCATTTGTTAGAAAGTAACACAAAATAATAGAAAAGAGAGAAATTTCTCATGAGCAAGAGACGGGAAAGGCTGGGAAATTTTCCATACCAATTTCCCATGACCAGAGACTTTTCTAAATGTTTTATTTCCCACATACAGACAGATTAGGACATTTTGTAGTGGTGTTTGACAAAATGGCTATGTGATAATTGAGGACATACTTTACATGCATGTTACAAAGCATGAGAATGAATTACTATATGTCCTAATTATCCTAGCAACCTTTGAAAGCATCAAATGACACAAGAACACTTATGTTTCTATTAACATTCAATTTTATCAAAAGTATTTTTTTTATTTTTTTTTAATCCTGAAACTTACCATCATTAGTAGCTTATGCTTTACATCTTTTATTTTGGTTGACTTTTCAGCACTACATTTTATCAGTGTGTATCTGCTTGATTAAAAAGGAAACAATGAAATCCTTGGCACTCACTATATCACTGAAACATACAGAGTTTGAGCTTGCCAATATATTGATGTGGAGATAACATGTTTGGATACACCATCCCCACACCATCACTCCCCACCTTAACAATCGCTTTATCATTTTAGATTTGCACTGAAATATTTTGAGAAAGAAATAGGAGGTCACCATTGCTGACCTACTTGTAAAAATATTAACTATCTGGCTTAAGTACAGATCCAGAACAAGCATTGGAAAGTCAGAACTTCTGATCTGTATATATGTTCCAAGTCAGTGCCTTAGAAAGAAATAACATGATTTTTTTCTTTCATTTTGGTCAGGGCAGGGAATGAATAAAAGCTTTGTAATTTTTGTTGAGATTTCACTATTCTGCTCTGGCATTTTTATCACTTTCAGGCCCAATGACAGTGGTCACCAGGACAAACAAAGGGAGTGAGGCTCCCCAACAAGGAACATAGACATCAATAAAACCCCTTTAAACTGGAAAGCACAGACTTACCATACTAAACGATCCCCTCCAGTGCTCCTCCCTCACTGGTGCTTTCAATTTCGTCCCTGTCTTTTTCTGATTCTTCGGCTGCTTGATTGGGTGGGCCCCAATCATGTAACTCCCACACATGTGCTTGGGGTTTGCCAAGCCTTTGCACTGAGCTATCCATGGGCGGCTCTGTGCCTAGAAAAAAAAATTGCTGACATACAGAAAGAAGCTTCTACGGCAGAAGAGACCTACTCAGTCTCGTCTGTCATAGAAAGCCTGCCGATTGGTAATTGTTTATTTTTTAGGCTTCACTTCTACTTTACCACTCTATCCAAACTAAAAAAATATGCTTAAAGCTGTTGAGTGAGCAAAGCAGCCAGGTTAATTGCAATATCATATAAAGAGGACTGCAGTGGCCACCTTCATATCCACTTAGTACAGGTTCCTTTTAAGCAAGTTTAAAAGGTGCTATTTACATGTTTGGGTTCATGGATTAAGCTGCCCATACACCTTGTGATCATCGGACGAAACTTTTTGTCCGATGATCGAACTGTTGATTTTCGTACGGCAGCCCCATCTTGCCCCGATTATCGCAAGGTTCAATCAGCTCTATTTTAAAAAAAAAAACACCTGGACGAATTGGCGTAATCGACTGCACGTATTTTCATTTGCGCATGAGAACTGTTAATCGTACAAATTTTGACGTACGGAAACGCCACCAACCTTGCGAAAATCGTACGATTGACCGAAGTTTTCTAACCTGATGGATAATCAAAAGTCGATCGATTGTACAGTATTTGTGGTTGTACACTGCCCATCAACCCTACGAATATCGGACGAAAACTCGATTGCATACGAAAATCGGCCGATAATCGTACGGTGTATGGGCACCTTTATACAGACAAGCATCTGCCTTGCATTAACCTCTGTTCAGCTGTGGCTTGTCTCCTTGCCCCTAAAAGAAACTCACCACAACTCCATATGAAGCAAAGGATCCCTACAGTAACTAAAACATGTAATTTTAATGCAAAGCAGCAGAAAAAAAAAAAATCTGTTAGAAACTGCATTTAGGCTTTTGTGAGGTTTCTACCCTGGTTATATGAATAACCTTGTTTCACATTTGGCTGTTTTGATGAAACTCTTTGAACTTCAACTAGGTGCATTGCAGTTCTGTCAAAAAGATTTGGGCACTACAGATGCTATTTAAATTTTCTTTTACTAGAATAAGTGGAGGGAGGAAATCAATATCTCTGCCTTCCAATGCTGGACTGGGCTGATCATGACATTCCATATGATATCAGTCAGTCACCATCATTCGGCTTCTGTTCATATTGTCTGTGCCTCCCTGATTTAAGTATTGACATTTCCACTCGGCCTTTCTAAATGCTTGTGTTTCCTGTGTCTGTCAGTTGCTCCCTTTTTTTTGGCCTCTCTCAATCCTTGCTTGTTCCATGCCTCTCCAAGTTCATGATCCTCCTGACCTTTTTCTCCTTGTCTGTAGTAATCTTTTTCTGGTCTTTGCTACTTCTGTTGCTCGTCTGCTCTATGCCTCTCAGGCCCCGTTCACACCAGGGCGTTTCGGCGCGCATTTTTTTCCACACTGAAATGCATGCAAATCGAAATCCCATGTATTTCTATGAGCTTATTTTGTGGCGCTTATCAGCTTGTTTTACTCCATAGGCTTCAATGGAAACTTGCGTTCTTGCACTTTTTCACGCTTTTATTTTGCACGTTTTTGCAGCTGAGACTGCTTTTCATTGGACAGCTGAAAAGAGCCTTAAAATACTCTTACATATGAACAGAAAACGCCTGTAAAACATGTTGAAAAGCGCAATAAAAATGTGCAAAAACGCGCCAAAAAATCTCTGAAACGTTGTCGCCCTGGTGTGAATGGGGTCTCATGGTCTGTGACTATCCTGATCTTTGCTTCTTCCAATTCCTTGCCAGCTGACTTTCTTAATATTTACATGCTACATGCCTATAACATTAATCTCACACCATCCTTGCATGCCTCCAATTCATAGCTCAGTGTTCATACGCTAAAAACCAAATGAAGATCTACACCTTTACTTTATAGATAATTTTGTATGCATTCTTTGTATTCCCATAGTATTTTGTGCTCCGACCTAAGGTCTGCTCTACTGTACATTTGCTTTTGAGTTTGAGATCAGTGATTTGCTTTTGTTCCTCCACAGAGTTATGAATACATGGTAAATGCATTGTGAATGCATTTCAGATGCATTGAGGGGAATTTATGAAAACCGGAGCAGACGAAATCTGAGCAGTTGCCCATGGCAACCAATCAGCTTCTCTCTTTCATTTTGAAAGCTTAACTGAACTGCTCCGCATTCTGTCTGCACCAGTTTTAATAATTAACCCCAGTGCATGTTAACCCTAATATACTTTCATTTTTTTTCTGAGTACATCTAGTTTGTAATTCATTGTGCAAGATGTGTTTAGTTTAAAGTGTAAGTGACACCCTTTGCCTTTTCAAAATGAATAACAACTTTTTTTGTCCTTAAAGCGGTCTGTGAAAATGGTTGTCAGAATGGAGGACGTTGCATTGGGCCCAATAGATGTGCGTGTGTCTATGGCTTTACAGGACCTCAGTGTGAAAGAGGTAAGATTTGTTTGTTTTTTCATTGTATACCAGATATATAAATATACGGGAAAGACTGAAGAACTTCATGATTAGTTTTTCTTCTTTTATAAACATGTATATACAAGTTTTTTTAGCAGATGTTTAATGTTATTATAGTGTAAAGGTGTCCATACACCTTACAATTTATCTGCAGATTTTCTGGGGTCAGATGGAAAAAGTGCAACAGATTGGCCCAGGTGGAGATTACTCCATCCACACAGTTAAGTGTAGATGGAGGAATCTGTTGCACCTTTTCCATCTGACCACAGAAAATCTGCAGATAATTGTAAGGTATATGGCCAGCTTAATGATATGTTCACTTATGTTAATTTCTTGCAGCTGAATTAGGGATCGTTCACACACCAGAATATATGAGTTCACATGCATTGTAGGTGTTTTTGCATTTTTGAAACTTTGTATCTGAATTGGCATGAAAAACATCAAACTGCAGGTCTATACACCCAAAATACAGGACATTTTTCCTTTATACTGTGAATAAATGTGCAGTGTAGTTATAAACAGAATCTCTTGGATGGGTTTTCTAATGTTCATGCATTTTGCGTGTACAGGAAAATGCCGCAAACTGCAGGCCAACTTAACTATTGTAATTTTACTGGTTTCCATTCCACATGACCTTAAATGCAAAAGTTGCCTGAGAGAAAAGAAAGAAGGGAAACTTTATTTCATTTAGTTCAAGTATAAAACTCAATATTTAAAAACACAGACTAAATGTTCCTCTGCTGTAAGCTTAAAACAAGTATCTTTTTTTTTATTTCAAATGCATGAATGGGCTCCTAATCTGCCCACTGCGTCCAATGAGAAATGTCCAAGTTTTTCATATTGCCACAAAGGAAGCAAAGCCACATCTGTGTTTATGGAATAAACACTGCACAGTGCCCTCCTAATGGCTATCAGCATGCGTAAATACAGCTGAAGCTTGTAGACACAGCTGTGTCTATGGTTCTGTCATGGCACTAGGAAAAATGTTAACAATTCCTACTGGGTGCAAAGAATGCTTTAAGACAGTGTGTAAATTTAAGGAGAAAAAGACAGGTGATAGGTAGTATAGAATAGTTCACTCTTCCATACCTCCCAACTGGACCTGATTTGGAGGGGCTGTCCTTTATTTGGAACCAAATCCCTCTGTCCTTCTTTCCTCCTCAGTTGTCTCTCTCTTTGGTCTGATGTACAGATATCTATGAAAAGGTTTTATTTATCTACCAAAAGTTTTATTCTATACATAAACCTTTATCTTTTTTCTTAATGATCTTGTTTGCTATTTTAAAAATTCGGTATAAAGGAAAAGTAACAGTATAAAAAAAACAATTCTCGGTTTAACCAATTATTTTTGGCATATAAATTCCTAATGGTCCACATTAATGGGGGCATGTCCATTGCCTTAAATACATTCTACTGGAAGGTGTCCCTCTTTCTCTTCTCAGAAAGTTGAGAGGTTAGCTGTTCTGTCTTAGCTGATGGTTGTAAGCTGGCCATACACCTTACAACCATCGCACGACTCTCGTTGTGCGATGGTTGTAAGGTGATTAAAATTTCGTACGATCTGCCCATCTTGGACAGGCAGATCATACTTGTGATCATCGCAAGCCCTCCCCGCTGCGGGGAGGGCTTCCGATGATTTTTGTTTGGGCATACAGTATATTTTATTGGTAAATGCTGTGGAGCTGGATTTCTCATTCACCATGCTATATGTGTAGGGTGAGAGGACTGAGCAGGGCTTTCTCACCATTTCCCAATGTTCCTGCAATGTGCTTTGAACGTAAAGGGCTGTGGGCCGAGCTGTGTGAGGCTATTCACTGATAGAACTAAGAATGCTGCCAACATTTAAGCAACTACAGCAGAAAAAACGGTGACAACAATGCAGTGATTTTACTATAGTAAGAAGAGCATTGTCACCTTATCAAAGGAAGTGCCTAACCAATGGTTCTTCTGGCAGGCCCAACAGGTATTTTCAAAACAAAGAGCTCAGTCTTGTTGCTTTGGGCACCCTTGATTGCATATGAAATGTTATAGATTCACCACAGTTCTACTTTAAACATTTACATTTTTCACTGCACAGTAAACCATATTTTTAGTTTGGGTGGAATTTGCCATTGGGGTACTTTTCTCTTCTGGAGACTGTTCAGAATGCTCTTACCTGCCAATAAACCGAAGACATTTCTGTCTTACAGAAAAGGAATCCAGATGCTGTTTTAAAGGCTCAGAAATATATCTAGTTTGTACAAATAAGATTTAACTTTGCCTTTGCAACCAAGTTAATGAAAATATTACAAACACCATACAATGTGATGATTGCCAAAAGTTGTGCAAATCAGATAAGATACTACTATAATATTTTATCATTTATCATACTGTTCTTTATACAACTCAGTGTCCTCTGTTTGACCCTGTTCTGTATGAAACCATATTATTATTGTCATCATATTTGTAATAGGAAAAATTACATTGCTAGTTTGGGTTTTGATACCTCACAAAAGAGTCTGAAAAATCAACAAACATATACATAAATATCTTAAAGTGCACTTGCCAATCTATACAATGGTTTATGCACTTTGCCCCTCCCCTCTGGTCTTTGAAGTGACACTAAACTCAGGAGTTAAATCTTATAAATGCATTCAAGTACCGGAACTATTAACAAAAAAATTATCTTATTTGTGTATCACTCGGCTGTAGATCCTCAAATCATCTCTGAATTGGTGCCGACACTGCCCTTCCTTCTGGAGGGTTGCTTCTTTTGTTCCCCATGGTCCCTGTGTGTGTTGTAAAGTAGCCACCGCTCCAAGCTCATGTAGTCCATGATGGACTATAATCTTATGTTTAGTTTTCTCATTTGTATTGAAATTATAGTTCATCATGGGAGTGAGCTTGGAGCGGTGACTTCTTTACAAAACACACAGGGTCCATGGTGAACAAAAGTAACCACCCTCCAGAAGGAAGGAAAGTGTCAGCACCAATTCAGAGATGATTTGAGGGTCTACAGCTGAGTGATACACAAATAAGATACATTTTTGTTAATAGTTAGGGTACTTGAATGCATTTTAAAGGTTTAACTCCTTAGTTTCATGTCACTTTAAAGCTTATAAAGCTCCTTCACAAGGATTCTCTGGGGTACAATAATCAATAACGGAACATAGATATTCCTATCCACTCTCCATTATACTTTGCTGTGGCATGCTTTAATACTGCATCATGCAGCCTGCATTTTGAGGCCCATACATAAAATGCAGGGTTTGGTATGGAGCCTGCAGTATCCTATGGAGTTAATATAAATGTACTGTATTATTTTATTGTAAAGCAGTTGCTTTTTAATTAGATCCCTCTGAACCCCTTAGGAATTTTCTATATTTCTGTATGAACAGCTTCTAAATAGTGATGTGAACATCTAACTCCTAATCATAACTACAAACAAACACAGTCTTACTCAAAGCTATACATTTTCATCACTTGGCACTGAAAGGGTTTATAGACAAATTTCTCCACTTTAAAGTAGGGGAATTCTGCAGAGTGGGCGGGTATGACAAGCATATGTCAGGCTATTGCAACTTATTACACAAAAGCACTGTTTGAAAATGGGCCAAGGAAAGCTCACACTACATATGTACACATACTAAACAATGTGTGTTTTTGTGGTGTTTTCACAAATACCACTGTGAAAATATATGTCCCCTCCTTCCACAACCACAGCCCCTACACAGCGAAGAAGTTGTAATGTGGTTTTGTCATCAAGACGGGTGAAAGAAAGGACTGTTTATAAGAAGCCCCTGTAGGAAGGCATGTGGACACCACCAGTTGACCTTCTGACTGTAATTCCGGTGCTCAGGAAATTGATTAGTCAGTGATCTGAAGTTTGTCTTTCTCATCTTGGACGAAGCATTTCTCGCCATGTCTGTGGAAAAAATTCTCACTACTCTTCTTATTAACTGACAGTCACTGAGAGAAATAAACACTGAAATGCATAAAACCAAGTGCTAGGTATTAGTAAACGTTGTGTGCTTGCTTTTACCTAAACATTCTTTATCTTTAAAGTGACACTAAACTCAGGAGTTAAATCTTAGAAACACTTTCAAGTACCTTAACTTTTAACAAAAATGTAGCTTATTTGTGTATCACTCAGCTGTAGATCCTCAAATCCTCTCTGATTTTGTGCTAACACATTTTTTTTTTGGAGGGTGGCTACTTTTGTTCCCCATGGTCCCTGTGTGTGTTGTAAAGTAGCCACTCCAAGCTACCTCCTGTGATGGACTACATTCTCACGTTTAGTTTACTAATTTGTATTGAAGTTGTAGTCCATCACGGGAGCGAGCTTGGAGCGGTGGCTACTTTACAACCCACACAGAGATGATTGCTATTTCTGTAAACTGTTTTAATACAGTGAAGCCAGAGAATGTAAATGTAAAGGTGGCAAAAGACAATTATGGCTTCACTGCCTTGCAGCAATTTGTTTCTGGGATCCCTGATTGGCCTTGCTCTGTATAGAATGGTGATAGAAATTCTCCTATTCTGACATCATACCTTGGGGCACAAAAAGGGAGAACGCTTCTGCACAAATATATACAGTACCTAGAGGTATAGTCACATCTAGAGGAAACAAAGCAAACAGTAAATCTTCTCGTTTTGTAAAACCTAGGTTAAGAAAATTTATTACATTTTTTAATAATACGTTTCTATGAAAGTATAGAAGTAACTTTACAAATAAAGGAAAAGCCTTTAGTAAAATCATACACATGGGCACACATTTTAGATTTTTTTCTGACTCTGGACTAATAAGCTCATAGTAGTGATTTTTTTTACCATTTACAAACCCCTGGAGAATGTCTTTGAGTCCGTTCTGGGAGACGAAACAAGCTCGCCAGCTGTGTATATATAGGAGCTGTCTAGCCAAGCAAAACATATCAAAATAGTGCTCAGGCCACAGGATGGTATCACTTTCATGTTAGTCAGAGCCTCCTCCAATGAGTAAT